TTTTTTTCAGAATTTGAGTATTTGTGGATTTGCTTAACCTATACTATTTTTGGAGCTTTAAATATTATAATTAGGTATCAGCATAAATTTTTAGGCCATAAAAAATGTGCCTAATTTTGATTTTTAAAGGCTGACACTTTATACAAACTGCACTTATTTCAAAATTTTATACAATGCTCAATCTTTATGGTTTTTTTTGGAGTTTTAATGTCATAATTACAGGTTAAAATAGATTTTTAGGCCGACATAAGTGTTTTCAACATATGAGGTGCATATTTTAGTAAGATTTAGAGGTATGCCTTAATTTAATTGTTTAAGGTGGACACCTTATACAAACCACACACCCAATGAAGAAAGATTTGACTTATCAGACTAGTGCAATTCATGATGACAATCGGGCTATATTTAACAAAGAAGTTTGAAAAGAAGAAAAATTGAGAAAAAGGGGAACACTAGGGTTCTTAGAACTAGAATCTCAAAGCAAACAATCTTGATTAGGGTCTGGCAATTCCAAGTCAAACAGGTAATCCTTACTAGGCTCTGGCAATTCCAAGTCGTATTGGTGATTTATCAATCCTCGTACCAAAGGAATCTAAACCATGCTCAGGCACTTCCACGTTGGATAGGAATTTTTCGATCACTGCCCCAAATGAATCCCTGCTAGGCTCTGGCAATTTCAAGTCGGATAGGTGATTTTTCAATCATCGCACTACATGAAGGAATTACATGAAATACCAGAAGATTATGTGCTCCCACAGTTATATGATTCCTCCATTAAAAACACTTTCATGGGTTATGGGATCCAAATTTTGGGGATTTAGCCTCATCAATCTAGCCACCCCCTCCAAACCATTTTCCTTAAAAAAATAATCTTTGGGTCAGTACTGTAACTGATTGATATATGCAAAATTGGAGGTTAAAAAGCCAAAAATACAAAATTACAATAACAGCATCACTCCTGAACATTTCACTAAGGAAGCTTTCATAATCAGATATATCCCTTCTCATATATGTACAGGGAGCTTCTTGGTCGCTGGAAATACCAGAACCAGTATTTAAACAAGAAAAAGTGTGAAATCAATGTCCACATGTATCTCAATCCCTAGTGTGAAGTAGAACTGTTTCTCAAGAGGTGCTTGAGAACAAATTCACCCATCATCTCTATTAGTTAATACAAGCTTTTTCTCTTGCTACATCTACCATAGAAGTAATTTGAACCATCCACATGAATAGACTAGCACCCAGTCTATTCATCAGTTTATCAGGTTCTCTCTACTTCATCTGTTGTAAAAAGTAATTTGAATCATCAACATGAATGGATTAGTATCAACTTCAGACATCACATAAGTATTGTCGAATCATCTATTTTATCTCTCATAAACCAGTTCGAATCATCTTCACAAATAGACCAGTGTCTAGTTTCACACTAGTCACGAGCAGGAGGGCTTGAGACTCCCTCCAAACTCTCTGTATAAGACTGAGTTGAAGGCACTTCTTTAGCTTGGCTTATATTTGAGTTTGAAACCTCAACTTGGTTGTTTCCATTTTTCCCCTTACCGTCAACCCCAAGATAATCAGTCAAAACTTTTCTCACTCCAAATCCACGAACATGGGGTTTTGGGTTCACAAATGGTGAGCTCACCACTCTTGCTGGGCTAACCAGTGGTGCAGGAGAGAAGCTGGGGGTTGTGAAAGCAGTTGCATATGGAGTCGCAGTGGGAGCACTCGCTGAATATGGTACAGAGACTCTTTTATGAGCAATAACACTAACCGTGGGGATCGAAGAAGAAAACTGGTCAGAGTGCTTTGTAAGGTCATCAACATAGAGGAGATCATCAATTCGAGCGATGATATTAAAAGCAAGACTCTCCAAGACTCTTGAATAGCTCTCAAGTATGGATTGCCCCACATCCTGCACGTTCAATTCAAAAGAATGGAACATTGGTTCAATAGTTTGAAAACTCGAAAGAGAGTAGACAGAGAAAAGACTATATTAAGTTCAGAGACCAGTTGTTGCATCACAGTTATATATGCTCTGATTATTTGTGTTTGATGAAGGTTTAGAGAAGCTCATTGAATTTAAATTTGCAAGATGCCCCCCTTTTTTTATGATATCACGCACTAGCTATAGGATAGAATTTTGAAGCTGGGCATTTTCTGGAGTGGCATGCAACATCTACGCATCATAAGTTAATGGAACCCAACTCATTAACAATCACTGTGGCAAGTACAACTCAGGATTCTTCTACTAAATAACACATTCATTAAAATTTTCTTTTTATGTTGTTTTCATATATTTTTATCTATTTTTGCTTCGCTTCTTTTTTTAATTATGAAATGGTACTTATTGATTTTTTTCAATTTTTTTTGTAGTTCTATATTTCTTCTCATTTGATTTTGTTTTTGTACTTTCGCGATTCTTTACATTATTTGACTAGACTTCCCTTTGGGAAAGATCTCTTTCAAAAGATTTTCTTCTTGCCTTCCACTTTCTCTATTCTTTAATATTTTTGCCTCTGGATTTGCAGTTTTTTTGTTTAACTGTTCCTTCTTCTCAATACAAGCAAGTAGTCAAAGTAAAAATCTTGGAATTGGCAGGAGAGAGAGAGAGAGAGAGAGAGAGAAAGAGGGAGGAGTACAAATTACTACTAAGAGACGTTGGGGCATAAAAAGGGTCTGAACTGCACCTTGTTATATTGAATTTTGCTCATATCCAATGTGGTCTGAGAAAGTCCAGGGAACCTCTGCTTCAAGCATAGCAGGAGGCTCTCAGCTCTCTCCGCAAGTAATTCCCTCTTATCCCCATCTACCATCAAATCTCTAACCATCTCCCATGAGGATTTTGAGTTAGTTCTATTTCCATTATTTATGGGCTTCACATTTGCTCTTCTTCTCCATACATAAATAGCTGCTTCTACACGATTAGCTATCTCTAAAGCTTGGTGTTCAGAGGACAGGTCAATGCAATCAAGGAGGCAATCCGGGGAGAACTGATCAGAAGTTATATACCTGTAAATAACATCTCCAAGGCTCGCTCTTCCATTCTGAAACCAACCCAAATTTAAAAACATAATAAGGGATTTTCTCATATGTAATGAATCATCATTATTTTGACAAAAGGTTAACCACTTTTTATTACTCAATCAAAAGAATTTTTTGAAACTTACTCAATCAAAAGAATTACAAACAGGCACAAGGTACAAAAACGAATCATCATTATTTTGTATTGTTATATTAAAAGGGTAATGCATCTTATGAAACATAATATATTTTGCAAAAAAAAAGAAGTGATCAATCAAAATGAGCATTTGATTGACTGTACGAGGATTATCAAGGAATTATCTTGGATAGTTCCATTGAAGAACCCAAGGACATCCAAAGAAGTACTTAATTGCCTGGGTGCATTTCATCAGAACCTAGCTCCCATGCAGCCACAATAATAAGTACGCTATCAAATTGTTTAGTAACAAAGTCACAAGAGTATCTCATCTCATCACAGGTCTCCAAGAGCAAGATATGCAAAGAAGAATAGAGTAACTAGAAAAGAACATCTGAAGAAGAATTTTGTCAACTATGCCAATGTGATTAAAAGTCAAAACTAGCTATCTTATTCTCACATAGCATGCCTCATCAAAACCCTGAATTAGGTTATAACCTATTTTGCAGGCTGTTGAGGATGATTTATTAGTTACCTTTGGAAGGCCTTCCAAATAAGAGTCTGGAATTTCCATTTCAGCTAAGGCATTGCTATTAATGGCCATGGCTGCTTTCAGAATCTGGTTAGTGCATTCTCTTTTGTGTTGTAATTGCTTCCTTGTTTTCTCGAGAAGGCCGCATGGCGGCACTCGAGGAACCGGAAGCCACCACTTCTCCTCTTGCCTTTGAAGGGGTCGGCGAAAAGAGCCAGACCCATCAGCATCTTGGGCTACAATTCCTTGATCGACATACCAAAACTCAGTGTCATGAAAACTATCCAATATCTCCTGCAATATATAAATCAAAATATCAGAAAAAGAGAATTGAGAATTCATGGATGTGAAACGCTGAAAGATCTTTGAATACTCAAACAACAATCGTCCTCTTACGAGTAGCATGTTGTCAAGTTTGCGAAGAGCTGGGAGGTTGATATAGAGATCTGAACGTGGTCTGCATGTCATGACCTGAATTTGAGGGACAAAACATTCATGAGAAATGGGTAGATTTAGAAATGACAACTGGTCAGAGCGCCAATTCAGGTTACAGATACCAAACACAACATATTAATGAATGTATCAGAAAATATGAGCAAAGCACGCCGAAAAGTTTTAGATATATAAGGACCATGACTATTTAAATTCATTTCTTCGGAACATGGGTTATAGCGGAAAAAACATTCACTAGAGAGAAGAGAGAGAGATCAACAGTTTACTGAGTATATATGAGATATGAAAGAAATGCGTCTCTACTAAGAATAATTTCATTTGTACATTACCAGTAAATCTAGAAAAGTGAACAGAGATCAATTAGACAGTCAAATTAGAAAGACACATAAAGCAAGAATGCTGGACGTTTACTGGGTATAGAAACATACATGAGGACGTCAAGGTAATGTTTCAACTTTCAAGACTAAGAAAAATTCTCTTTATAAAATAGAAATAAATCCAGAAAACGAACATGGATCAATTAGACTGTAAGTTCGAGTGTACCTCTAGTTTAGTCCCATCCGGAAAAGTTTGCCAAGATGGGATTAATTCAACTATGTGATCACTGACGCAAAGAAGCCATTCCATCTCTCTTCGCCACATTGCTTTCTTCTCCGGAGGTAGAGGTTCTAATCTCCATAGCTGTCCAAAAAGGGTTGCTAAAAAGGAGAAATACAAGAGAGAGAGAGAGAGAGAGATATTATTAACTGTCCTAAGTGAGAAGATAAAAGTGTTGTCTAACAAAAATTCAACACAAGCCCCATTAAAGCACTTCAAAAAAATTTGGGGGAAAAGAAAAACAGGAAAGATGAAAGATGGCATACCACATAGATTGGTAATAGCATTTGAAATGGCCAACGCCGTGCAGACACCCTTTCCAGACCCTGACATATCTTCACCGAGCAAAAGCTTGGAAAACCTCTCTTTCATCATCTCAATTTCTATAAACCCAAGTAAGAATTCAAAACAGTAATATCAGGCTAAAAAATGAGAAAGAAGAAGTGAAAGAGAGTGAAACCCAGCTAGTTCTTCTTCAATTCGTGGGAAAAATCCACACCCACTGCAAAAAATTCCACTTGCAAATAGAGAGTCAAAAGCTTGGGTGCTTGCCTGAATTCAAAACATTGATCAGAAACTCAAAATCCCATAATATCTAGTTTTATAAAAAATAAGGGTTCCTGCCAAAATACAGAATATTCAGGAAAAGCCCAAAACCCAACTTGTTTCTCCATCACAAAAACTGGCAAATAAACGATAAACGTTCATACAAAGATTGAGAGAGAGTCTTCAAAATGTTCAAAAATTACAGATAAAATCAACAAAGAAACTCACCTGAATACTTGGGATCATGTTTCTCACTCTTCACCTCTTTAACAACGCAATCTTCCTCTTTAACCCCAATTGGCCACCCGATAGGTGGGGACTCTTCAGAGCAAGTGCTACTGCAACCTTCATCATTTCCATCTCTTTGCTCCTCACGAGTTGAAGCCTCAGAACAAGTGCTACTCTCTACTGTAACCACCACTCCCTCTCTAACTCCATCACCATTAGCAATCTCACCATTTCTTCCACCCACCGGTGGATCACATCCATCAATTTCCACCCCATGCGTTCGATCCCCCACCTCCCCCATCTTCAAACCTCCAACAAAAACCCTAATACGAATTGGGTCTCTCTGAAAAAGCCCCAAATCTTCCTCAGCTGCTTTCAAAAGAGAAAAACCAGAGTTGGGCAAGCATAAGCAACCATTGCAAGCGAAACCCTTCAAAAATTTCGATACCCAGAAGCTCAAAACCTGAATAGAGCTAGAAAAGGGAGAAGGCTTTCGGTTCACCAGATATGAGAGCTTCAGTGCTTCTTTAATGGCGGAAAGGTCTCTATCCATAAGCTACCTAAATCCCAATCAGTAGAGCAGGAGGAAGGGGAGGCATACGTCTTTGTGGAGCTTCGTACTGCGTATAAGGCCATGGTTGAGGGCGTGAAAGGCGCGCAGAGAGCTCAAACAACACATGATAATGTGTGAGTCAGTAACTGACGAACGCTCTGCCCTTATAAATGCAGAGACAGGAGACAGAGGGAGAGGATAATATTCGGATTCCGTTTCAAAAAAACGTAGAGGGATAGACAGATACGGCTTCGTATATGCGTATTTTCCATACGACATACGAAATGGCGTTAGTAGAAATGGTTACAAATTTTGAGGACTTGACAAATTTAGAGTGAGAGGGAGAGGAGAGAGAAGAGAGAGATTTAGGGTTAGGGTTTTTCTTGAGAGAGAGGACCTCAAAATGATTTGAAGTGTGGTCTTGGAATGCGAGCCTTGACCAGCATTGGCTAGGCTCATGACTTAACGGCTTGCAAGCCGAGACCATGATCACACATTCTTGTACTGTCTTCCTCTCATCACTGTCCAATTCGTTGATTAGATGGTTATGATCAATGTCAATATGATTAGATGTTTATTGTGGTACTATGGTGAAATTATATTTTTTAAAATAAAAAATATAGGTCCCGATTTCTATGAGGCCATGTCCATACGTAGAAATGTTTGTCTATTAATACCTCTATTTTTATAGACTTAATTAATAGGGATATATAATCTCTAATATGGAGATCATTAATATGAAAAAATAAATAAATTTATAAAATTAGAAATAATGATTCTAGTATGAAAGCATTTGGAGAGTTAATTCCCATTGTTTTTAGATGGCTTGCATTTATCTTTAAGGTTGATGTTTTACGCCTTTTATATCTTTACATATATATAGTCAAACAATCTTTTAAAAATATATATGATAAAAAAAATTAGTTTTGATACAAGGAGGTTACAATTACTCGCAAGTATCAAATATATAATTGAGTGATTAGAGACATATCATTGACTAAGCATCAAGTCCTAAACAACTTAATATGTCAGATTTCACATCCAACTGCTCAGGATGAGTAAAACATATTTACATAAAAAATTAATAAAGTTATAGCATATAGTCTCAATAAAAATTTTGTTGGCCTTCATTATGTGGCAAAAGTACATGGTCTTCTAATGCATTTTTTTAATACGAAAAATGTTTTGATTGGGCTACTGCCCTATCAAAATAACTAGAACCTCACCTCAATGGGCACTGACAATTGTTGTTCCGACGTTAATCATCTCTGCCTTGACCATTATAAATTTTTACAAAAATAGGATTTCAAGCTCTAAAAATAGTATATATTGTAACACATTATCTACACCGTTCATTTTGCACTAAAAATAAACCTTTACGGATCTATAAGATCTGTACCTTTTTTTGAGTTTCACATTTCGTAATTAGTATAAAAAATTGATTTTTATGCCCAAAATGTTTTCCAGAGGAGGATTCGTGGTGAGGCTTTACTTTGTTTTATAAAGCCCCGGCCTTATAGAAAATGCAACCTTCAAATATTAGATGTTGGAGATTGATCATACATAGCCAACCATCTACCAAGGTATGATTGATCTCCACTACGCATCATCATAGATCAACGATGTATCTTGTAGAGTAAGTATTGTTATAACGAATGTCATTTTCCATCAACTAGGTCAATATATTCGACGGATGTTCAAATTTTAAGAAAAGATATACTTCCTCAATATCACCAACAATTTGATTTTTAATCAGGTAAGTATAGATTTATGGTCTCACTGAGGATATAGTATTTAATAGAGCAAAAAGGGATCAGGATTCATATAGCCAGCCCCACTCAGTTGAAAAAAGACATTCGCGCCGCTTAATTGAAAAAAGACATTCACGATGATGACGACGATACTTCCTCAATAAGACCAACATTTTGAATTCTTAACTTTGGTTGAATTTTCTTAAAAAATACAACCATGTGTAAGTTAAAGGTACGTAAAAATACTTGGGGACTTTGTTACGTTGGGTTTGTGAATATTTAATACAACCATCTAGCGAAATCCTCTAGGGAAAAGTTCTTTGGAAATTGAAAAGATTGACATTGATCACTACCTAAAAAGAGTCAAAAAAAAGAAAAAAAAAAAAAATAGAGTTAAAAGAATAAAGAGCCCAAATGAGCCAAGCCAATTAGTAAGCCGATGTAAAAGTGGCTAAGGGCCCCAGGGTTTGTCCCGATATGTCTGTAAGTGGTTGAGAAATCAACCACCATTTCACAAACTTTCCCTTTACTCGGAAGGCTTTGCGGGATTATTTCACCCTTTTTAGCTTTGATCATTGATAGTGGTTGCTCAAAAATACCGGAACCCCTAACGGCTAGTTGGGGTCCCCCTAAATCATTTTCTCTTAACCGTTGGTTGGGAGGTGCCTTTCGCTTCCAAGAAAGGGAACTAATTACTGTGATTACACTTTTATTATCCCACTCAAACCCTTTTTTAGACACGTGTGCATTTTGAACATGCGGGCCTAATACTTAAAGAAAAGGAATAATCTCCATTTGTTGAAAATAATTGGTAGATGGTTTTTTTTTTTTTTTTATTCGGGGATTGTATACTATGAGATCATTTATTTTTGCGGTCCAATTTTGATTCTCTTAGTGTGATTGTATGACACAAGTGATTTTTTAAATGGATTGGTTATATTTACATTTTTTTAAAAAAAAAATTTGAAAAATAGAGATCTCGAGTGAGTTTTCTAGCCTGAAATCGCTAGCCTTCCTATCGAGTACGACTAGGATAATCCCTAAGTCCAACATGCAATATGCCATTTTTGAATCACTGATAGGATAAAAAAGTTAGGATGCAATTTTTTAAATCACTGATAGGATAAAAAAAAAAAAAGTTAGCATGCAATTTTTATAAGGTCTAGGCCTTTAAATGGTCTCTCGATATACTTTCTCAATACAAAAAGTAAAGCCTCACTATGAAACCTTGTCCATAAAGCACTTCGGGAGTGGGAAATCCCTATGATGGATCTAAAATATACTTCCACCATTGATTATAAAATTTTGCGGTTTAAAAAGTGGTACACATCTTGCTGATCCATGAGCACTTGAAAATTGACGATCTAGATAATGTGTATAATATATATTATTTTTAGGGATTGAAAAACTGTAATGGTCAAGGATGAGATGATCGATTTGAAGGTTTTTCGATACCGGAACTAATTTTCTCCATAATACCTAATACCTAGGCCTTAATTTATCCTTTTCCAACAAGTTATGCTGTTAGGGTTTGGACATTTAATATATTCTTTAACACTAAATTACAAGTTAGTGGTCTAGATTTATCCAAAGCTGTCTACAAACTATAGTTTCTGCTGTCTAACAAACCTTGTCGGATCTGATTGCCGTGTATCGAAACTAATCCTTTCAAACATGCCTCCATCGACAATTAGTAGGGTGGCAACAGGTTAGGTCCCGCTGGATCGGATTCGAACCTGAATAGTATTTAGGTCTAAGTTTTGGACCCGGACGTGGCCTTTCAGGTCCAAAATTTAGACATATACCCAGACTCAAGGTTCGGTCTACCTGTCGGGTCTGTTCGGTTCCCTTGCAAGCCTATGACTATGACCTTCGTTTTTTTTTTTGCCTTTTTATTTACTATCATATACCTATATTATAGGCAACATTTACACTGTTGCATATTTATGAATTTTACGTAATACTGAAAATTCTTAATAAACAAATATATTGGCAACATTTATGAATACCCACATAGATGTTGGCTTAAAAGCTGAGTTTAAACCCACATAATTATGTGAGTTTAAAAGATTTTTTGAGAAGTACATGGTTCCATATTATTTGGGTAAGGAGCGGGTCTATTCGGGTTCAAGTTTTGGACCCGGACCTGACCGTTTGGTTCAAAAATTTGGACCCATACTTGGACCCAAGATCGGATCTACCCATCATGTCCCAGGTCTAGTCCAATCCATTGCCACCCCTCAATAACCACTCAATAACCTCGTATTATGCTCAAATTCTATGCCATAATTATTGCTTTGCAAATACGTCATTTTAATTAACAATCCTAGGTACAAATCATCCCAAAAAGAAATCGTGTTTCCAATGATTGATCCAGAGTGTTTAGAGTAATCATTTTGTAATTGCATTTCATTGCTACGAAGGATTTATTGGCTTAAGCTCATGTAATAACGGGATCTTACAAAATAAGATTATTTACAATTGGTGCAAGAAGGTCATCATCCTCCCCAGCCATCAAGTGTAAACTTTGATAGTTTTGCGTGTGCACAAGATCGTTAGTAGTTTTTGGGGACTCGTTGTCAATGGCACACCAAACTGCTCACCCTAACTACGTAATTTTTTATCGATAAAGCCTCTCCCCAAACTGTACAAGCTTCTTCCAAAGCATATGGCTCTCTGGATGCATATAATGATATCCAGACCGGTGGATCTTAAACGAATCGTATGATGAAGTACCACATGAGTAGATATATAGTAATTCAAATATGTAACCCACCATCGGTAGTGGAAATCGATTTAGAGCTATCATAGTGATTCCTCATCCCCAAATTTCTTGACAAAGTTTTGAGGTGAAGCTTTACTTTTGCTCTATAAGGCCTAGCCCTTACAAACTGCATAGGTAAGTCATTTGTATATACTATCCATATGTTACATATTTAGAGCCCTAGTTCTTGGAATTGTTCAAATTATAATGTGGAATAGGCTTAAAAAGTTAGGTCGTCAGGGGTGACAAAGCGCTCATTTGAGTTCCATTTTTACCATCACTAGTGTTAAACATATGAAGACAAATTTCCACTAAATTACATAATTTCTCACCATATAGGATAAGATATAGCATGGGTTTTTGAACTCATGTTTCTCCCGTATTTTGTGGGAGCTAATTCCTATTGTAAAAAGGAAGTCTATCTGTGAGTCATTGTGAGGATAACCCTAAAAGAAAGGAATAGCGAGGAGGCCTCACCGGGGTCTTTTGGGTTGGAGAGAGAAGGGTTAGTTTTCTGTAGTGCTTTGGGTGGGTGTTCTAATGTGAGAGAAATACCATATATTTTTAATTAGTGGAAGAGAATTTTGCTGTTGTTTATGAATGAAGATAACTTGTCAAAGCCTCTTTTAATTTTCTGAATTATTTTATTTCCCTTTATTTTTCTCAAACCTTAGTTTTTATCGAGTAGAAGACCTTTTCTTAGTTGAACTACCCAAAAAAAAGTATTGTTAGTTATAATTGATATCTGCCCCTATCAAATCCATGATCA